CAATATCAAAGTGGGAACACTTACCAATTGCTAATCCATATCCTGCCAAATATACAAAAACTATTGAATGTTGCTAATCGTTTCAGAAAGGAACATACAAATGTAGAGGACCTAATTAAGTATAAGAGTGGAGAAAATATAGACTCAAATCACAATTGTTCATTAACCAAAAAAAGAAGAACAGAGATTTTGAGAGATGGCTAGTGCAAAAAATATTGCAACATTTGCTAATCCCTTCTTCATGGGAATGCTGTGCTTGGTTTTGCTTTTGACTTCAGGTACAATTTTTCTCTAAAATCTTTATTAAAATTTTTACCTATACAAAAGATCAAGAAAGAGGCCATCAGATTAATGGTACCTGAATCCAGTCATGATCTCAAGATTCTAGATGCATCGCTTTTCTGCTCGTTTCTACACTACCACTTTGGTCCTTATAAGAAGGATCAAAGAATAGTGGAGAATCTCTCACTAGATTTTAGAATTTAGCATCACGAAGTAAACACCATCCATCGACATTAACTCATCACAATCTTTAAGGAATTGATCGAAGATTCCAAATAATATGAAATTACCTCTAATTAGTCTCTATGATTCTTTCTTTGATGGGATTAAAAGTGATGAGAACCCCAAAGAACACTAACGAACTTAATGATTCTTTGCCTAGTGTTGTTAAATCATACATGTGGGGTAATCTTGATTCCCATCATTAAGTTTAAAATTTTGTTTGATATATTTTACCTAGTACATGCTATTTTAATGTTCAACCAAAATTGAACAAATATGTAGAGTCATTCGTTTAATATTATACTATTTATTGTAAACATATAACTCTAATTAATGTTGTTAGAATTAGTTTAATTTATACGAAAGTACCATCTATGCATTTCATTAAAGAAAACTATTTAGACTAATTTATATAAATGGTTTTGTATTGTTGTAGGGAGAATTATGGGTGTTCAGGTGAGGAAAGGCTCATCATCCAAGGGCCATGTTCCTAGTTCAAGGATTGCAACCAGCACTGTCTTGACATTAAATTTCCTTTGGGTGGATTTTGCAAAGAGTTGAGTCCTGGTCAAACTTCCTTCTGTCTTTGCAAATCCACTTAGGCATGTTGTAGATTTTGAGTTTGTACTCAAATAAATGGATGAATAAAGCTATTAGAATCTTTTGTTAGGGATAAATCTCCATCTCGTAGCTTTGATATTGTTGTTGGAATTTAACTATCACCAAGACCAATTGATGAAAAACATAACTATAAATTTATGCAAATGGATTAAATAACAAAGTAAAATAATATAAAAGAGGAAAGCCTAATTTAACTTGGAAAACCCTTCCAAATGAGGGAAAAGACCTGGAGATGGAAAGAAAAATCTATTATTGAGAAAGAGTTACAATATTAAAAACCCAATCCCAATTTCTTCTATGAACCCCTAATTTCTCACAAAAACTCTCACTTGATCTTCCCAAAAAAATTTTATTTAACATAGTTGGAACTCTCAATAGCCTCTAAATAACTCTTATAATCACCCATGGCTAAGAACTTATATTAAGGAAGTACAACAAAAAAAAAAGGAAAAACAAAATGCTGGAAGAACAAAGATTCAACAAGATGGCTAGGGCAAAAATTGCAATATTTGCTCAATGTTGAATTCAAAGAAATACTCTCTCTATTCAATAATAATAGATATTCTTGTCGTTAAATGTCTTGGATGCCGTTAACTATTTAGCCAACTGAATTGCCAACATGGAAAACATTTTGACGTGTCATTGCCACGTGGTGCCACATGGATTCTCCTTAGCTTGATTTCCCTCAAAATCAACTGGGACCCATAAGTGGCATCCGCGTGGCAATGACAAGTTAACACTTTTTCCACAGGCAATCAATTGACTAAGAGAGTGATGGATTGTTAACTAGCATCCAAGAGATTTGCACACAAGAGAATATTTCATCCATCAAGAGAATATTCCATCCAATTGGGACCTTATTTGAGAATTTCATGTAGTTGGTATCTTAATTGAGTGTAATTGAAGTTTGGGTCTAAAATTGCAAATTTTGTGCAAGTTTGGGTCCTTATATCACGTTTTTGCCAAGTTTTAATCTTGAAAAATTTTAGTCTCTGAACTATTTTTATAATTTTTTCATCTGTTAACTATTAAAAATGCATTTTTTTGTCTTTCCATTAGTTTTATCCATTAAAGCTATACAATCGCATTTTTTTTGTCCCAAAGCTTTTGTTTTGTGCTCATTTTTCTATTCCTAAACTAATCTTTGTTGCATAGTTTTAGTTCTTAAACTTTTGTTTTATGCTCATTCATGTTATCAAAGGAAATTAAATGAGAATTAGGTAGGCAACTTAACAGACAAGACTAATAAAACAACAAAAAGAGGTATTTTTCATAATTAAGGAATAAAAAAGTGATAAAAATAGTTTAATAACTAAATTTATTCAAAATTCAAAGTTCAAAAACTAAATTTTTACATTTAACCAAAAAGTATAATGGCCAGGAGTTTATATATATATATGAGGCAACAATATCTAAGTGGAAACACTTACCAATTGCTATTACATCCACATGGATTATCCTGCCAAGTTTAACAACTAAATTTATTCAAAATTCAAAGTTCAAAAACTAAATTTTTACATTTAACCAAAAAGTATAATGGCCAGGAGTTTATATATATATG